ATTGTATAAAAAGTCGCAGATATGGGTTATGCTGATGGATATATAAATGTGTTTGTTATGATAACGGGTATAGTTGTTAGACGAAACCTTTTTCGCGTGATTACGAAAGACGGAACCTAAATCCCAAAAGACAAAACCTCTGACGAAAGTTGAAACCCCAAATTCTTCTGACGAAAGACGAAACTTTAAACTTAAAATGACAAAACCTTACACTCAAAAAACCTAATGCTCCCACAAAAAAAAAAAAAACAACACAAGAACATCGTTATTTTCAGTCATAATTTATTCAGAGATCAGTGTCCGAAATTACATGTATGCTAGCAAAAATAAACCAGTTCATTTTTTCTGGACAACGCTATGGTTGTTATAGACCAGTCGAATAACCTTGTCAAAAAGCCATGGTACTCATGGAATAACATACTGGCACAAAATAAATTTGTAAGATCACAAAGTAAGCACCAAGCGATTTCTCACTAGAACTGATATGCAGTGTACTAGTATATAAAATATTCATTTTTAACTCCCTTTAAACAATTCAAGCGCCTATTATATAATAAATTTTTTTGCAATTTTTGTACATTTCTGTATTTTGTACCCTTTACAGTTTCATCACCTTTCGTCAGTTTCGTCATTTAAGATTTTAATTGACGAAAGAAGAAACTAGGTTTCGCGCTTCGTCAGCGCGAAACCTCGAGGTTTCGTCTAACAACTATAATAACGGGTATGGAGTCAAAAGAAATTATAAAGAAGCATTTAAATATTATATGAAATCTACAAATTTATTTCATATTGAATCAGCATGAAATGTTGGTAATTGTTATTATGATGGATTCGGAGTTAATAAAGCATTTGAATATTATTATATAAGAAATCTGCTTATATGGATGTTATTGTTGGTATAGAATACGTTACAGAATGGTACCGGAGTACAGAAGAAAATCATAGGTGTAGGAAATCTTTTGAAAACTAATAAGAAAGCTAAAAAATCACTTAATATCAATCTAGACCTTAAAAAAATATTAGATGATAACAAAGATAAATTATCTTTGAATGATTATGGTGAATTTAAAAACATAAGAGAGATTGGAAAAGGCGGTATATTATGCACTTTGGAATAATCAACTGTTACACTCAAAGAGATCTGTGGATCATCAAAGACTTTGTTAACGAGTTGAAGAATTATTGTGAAATTGGATATGAGAATCAATCTTTTTTTACAATGTTATAATGAGATACACGTCCAAAAGAATCATTACGTAAAAATGCAATCAATATAAAAAATAAAAAAAAACTAAAAATAATTCGGTACAATACCCATATAATTGCATCCCGTAATTAAGACCTGGATACTTTGCAATTCTTGAATGTGTGCCAGGTTGATGGTGCATTATCCAGCCAAATGATCTCTTTTATTTCTAAAATTTCAGTTTCAATTAAAACTTCCACCATATGTTTCATCAACCGTCCTGTGTTTTGAATGCTTTCTATATTTTCTTTGTGAATTGAAGACATAACAGAAATAATATAATTTTTAAAATTTTTAGTTCGTTCATTATAAAAGGGAGATAATTGTACTTAATATGTAAATAGAGTATATTACAATAATTTCAAATCATGTAAGGTTAACAAAACTTATAAAATTTAGGTTTAAAAGTGAAACGTCTTTAACATTAAGGAACACTACTATTATTCTTTTTTAAAGATACTATTCAGCGTAGATTATGAATAAGTTTTTTTTCATTTAAAGAATTTTTTTTAAATAATCCCCTGTCGCACTAAGTGTCCCTCATGACTACCTTCATTATTATTTTTTACATGTGATTAACCATATTTATAATAATCATATTGTGGCCGGGAATCTTCCCACGAAAGATTCCCGGTCTCATATTGATCATCAGGAATCTCTAAATTTTAACGCTTAATTTTTATTTGAATCATTTTCTTTTTGTATTTTTCACGTTTTATCTAAAGAACTTTAAAAGCCAAAGTAAATATGCCCAGTAGAATGAGGCTAAAAAAGGCACGATAGGAGCAAAGTGAAAGTAAGAGTTTGAAATAGTTAAACGTAGAGGTAAAAAGCAAAGGCGATAAAAAGAGTAAATCAATAAAAATGATGTAAATAAAATAAATAAATAAATAAAGCGAAGCCAGAAGTTAGTAAAGCACAATATGAATATAAATATGGAACACGCGTAAAAATAATGGTATGATAGTCTGATTAACATCTAGTGGGGATTATTTATTTATTTCCACTCCCCCAGGAAATAAATAATACTTATATAGTGCGTGTTTATTTGAGATTTATTATTGTCCGGAGCGTAGCGAAGGACATTTAATGGACGAGTAAATTACATCAAAATTGCGTTTTTGATGCATATGGATGTCTGTCCGCACACGTGACAAAAGTTACGTTTTTGATGCATAACTATATTCGATAATTTATTCGCTCCGGACTTACAACAGTTTCTTAAAACTGTTTCCTAGTAATTGTCCGGAGCGTAGCGAAGGACATATAATGGATGAGTAAAGTGCATCAAAAGTTACGTTTTTGAAGCATCAAAATGTACGATGCTGATGCATCATAATGATAAAAATCAAAAAACACAACTTTGAAAAGGATGTCTGTCCGCATACGGACTAAAGTTACGTTTTTGATGCATGACTATATTCGATAATTTTTCGCTCCGAAATTACAACAGTTTTTTAAACTGTTCCCTAGTGATAAACAAGAAAACAAATCAACAACATAACTTTGAAAAGGATGTCTGTCCGCACACGTGACTAAAGTTACATTTTTGATGTATGATTATATTCGTTAATTATAACCAATCATATTGTTTAATTAATACCACGTGATTAATATGTTAGCTATATAAAAGTGTAATGTATATACGTATACGTCCATATATTTTTAATATCACTATAAGCTAAATTTAAAGCTAAAATTAAATCATTCAAATCATTCAAAAATTGTATTATCGTTATAGCCAAACTATATAATGCATAATCTTCCCCTTAACTTAAAAAAGATATAATGATCTTTGCTTCCATTCATATTAGTTCCTTTGACTTTATTATCTTTACACATGGCTAACAATCTTATAATAAAGGATTTTTACATTCACCATCTTAATGTAATTTCCATGCTGAAAAAAAATTTAGTGCACAGCATAAGGTGCAGGTATTCTAATCATTGTAAATAATTATGAAAAGTATATATTAGAATATCTACTTGATAGATTTGAAATCATCTTAATTCGATTCTGATTCTACGATGACTATAGTATTCGATTATTTTCATTATTGTTGTTTTAATGCATAATTCTCCAACTATAGAATTAATTTACACGTCATTATTATTGCTTAAGCGAATATATTTTTCATGTCGTTACACGGAAAATTTACGGTTTGCCGACACAAATACTGGACCACCTTATCGAAAGAGACGCTTAGATTTGGACGAGCGGGAATGGTTCTAAGGCTTCGGCAATCCTTAGACTACAAGAAATCACGCGACGATCGGACGAAGAAACAATAGTCTACCACTTAGAACAAACCCGCAAGGAAATCAATTATCCTTGACACGTGGGGATACGACTTCAAGACAATACAACAATAAAATAACTGGTTTATCAATAATGACGGATACTCTAACTCAAATGGGCTATTTTAAAGATGGGGTGAGCTTTAGGCGGCGTAACGGTTACGTTTAGGACAAGGTTTATACAACTGACAAAGGTTTAGTTTTACTGAGGGACAGAATTAAGGTTGTAACAAATTATACGTGAAAGGGGTACTTGACAAGCCAAAGGGCGCTTGTATTGTTAGGGAAACAATGTTTTATATCGTAAAACGATAATACTCAAAGGGCGAATTCGCCCTTTATTTATAATAAAATAATACATATACTAAAACTGACAGTATCGCTAATACTGGAAATACCGATTTTAATGTCCTTTCCGCCATTACTGACGGAATTCTCTATACCACCCAAATTGTTAATATTGCAGGTACTAATAGTAAAGCCGGGATCGTCAACAATGGCGAAACTGACAAAACTGGCAAAACTGTCAGTACCGTGATTACCGAATTGGTTGATGATCGACGGCACCGAAATTGAACCTAGGTGCCGCACAAAAAATGCGCGGCAGATCCTCGATTTTGATTGGCTAAGAGCGACGATCAAAAAATTAGGCCGGAATTACTCGTAATTTTACTAATGAAATCGCAGCCGCCCATTAAGTGAAAATCGTTCCTGGGTAAATTTTACCATAATGCGGGCTTATTTCTTAAAAATTTCTATTTTTGTAATGAAAAAATTAAAAAGTTAATTTCGGCCGGAAATTAGTAAACAATTATGTAATGCGGGCCAAAATTTTGAAGATCCTCGGCCGTTAGCCAATCAAAATCGAGGATCTGCCGCGCATTTTTTGTGCGGCACCTAGGTTCAATGGCACCGAAATCGCTGCGGCAGCTACGCCGGCACGGGATCATCGAAATTTGCCGGAAGGCAAATTTCCCGGGTTACAATGTTAAATCATATATACTAAAAACTCAATCAACTTTACATTATTGCTCAATAAAAAAAATCTCTTATATTAATACCATATACTGCGTATCATATAAATATTACATATAAATATAAATGCGGCACATGATGCCACGTGTGGAGCTAGTTACATATACGAAGTAAACACTATATATTCTTTTGAATCCTTTTTCCTATTTAATCGATAAGTATCTTTTTAATCAATCGATTCCATAAATAAATTATGAAAATAATAAAAATAAAATAATCGAAGATGTACTATGTTTGATACATTGTGGATCGGGAAGGGTAAATTTGCCTTTCACAATGGCATAACTATCACGCTAAGTACACTTATATGGAAATCACGCCATAGTTTGTTCATGCTGTTATATGAACTGCTACGATTTGCAAATGCATGAAATGAATAAAAAATTTTTTACAATAAGTTGAAAAATTAATAGAAAAATTTTTAAAGCTTTCTTAACATTATTTCAGTTTCTTTAAATGATTCGACATCTGAGCCAAACATTCTTGTATGTTCTTCTGATATTCTTTTTGTTGGTTCGCCAATAATTTTCATGACATCAATTCGTCCTTCATCTTCAACCGCACAGTTTAATATATCAATTACATCTGTGTTATTAGTTTGATAACTTTGAGAACTACCTATTAAGGGCTCAGATGAAATTGATGAGGAATATTGATTAGAATCTTTTAAATGAACAGGTTTAGGAAGAACTAAATCATCATTTTTATTATCGAGAATTATATCCTGATTTGAATCGTCATTGCCAACAAAAGAATTAATTGATGATAAAGGTTCAGATGAAATTAATCGAGATGGACTTTTTGGAGGAGAGAAAAGTTTAATTAATAGCATATAGCTTAACCATTCTAGGAGAGATGGTTCTGAAACTATATTATTACTAGCTCTATTATTTTTATTAATAAAATTATTATTAATATCGCCATTGATAATATCATCATCAATAACATCGTCATTAATAATATCACTTTTAATGATATCAGCATTATTGCAATTTAGAGATTTTAATTCAACAAAATCATTGAATTTTCCTAGTGTGCTGAACTTATCAGTAATGGCTTTGTTGTGAGATCGATGAGGATAATGTGACTCATAATAGTTAACATTGGATATCCACCATTGTAGTTTAATAGCCTGAAAAGTACGAGTAACTGCAATATCTTGTGAAAATACTAAAGCGCTCAGTAATCCTAAGGTGCAAAGATAAAACCAATAATCAAAAAATGTTCATATAATAAAGAATAAATATATATAATATATAAATACCTTGAAGTGCCATGCTACTATAGCTAATTAACATTAATGAATAAGGGGTCACATGATTAACATAATGATAAGTTTCAGCGAGAGAGCCAAAAATTTGAGCTACCGGCAACACAGGATACCACATCACTCTTCTGACGACAGATGAAATCATATATTTATCAATTAAGGGGGGATGACTAGATAACCGAGTAGTCAAAGAATAATCAGAAGAATCGAATTTTTCTGCCACAAATTTGAGTTTTCTAATGACCATAATAATAACAATTGCACAATACAATATAGATGCATCTATCCAACTGAAAAGAGTAACCCATTGCCATATTATTTTATTTTTTGGATTAGTAGCAAGATACCAGCAATTACTGTAATAGACATTAACCAATATGAATATATGAAATAAATACATCAGGTCAAAGCATGACACAAATGCCAGGCACTATTAAGAGTATGGGCATAAAATGCCGGACATGAAGTGTCGGACACAACCAAAAAATTTTATAGTTTTGTGATATACAAATGTTTGCGTAGAATGTCTATGTCCGTGCCCATACCTGAGTTTCATACCTATGTCTATGCATGTATTTTTTGTTGTGCATAGGTACGTGCCCAGTTGCAGACCCTAGAAATAATAAATATATATTTGTACATACGTACATCTATATATATAATAATATATACTATACATACCCAGGAGGACCAACATAACCATACATATTAGCGGCAACAGGAAGTAGAGAGAGTAAAAGAGCAAAAGAAAATGTAATAATATAATAATAAGTTTCAAAATTATATCTTTTATATTCATTTACGAATATTATATGAAGGTTCTAAAATAAAAATAAAAATAAAAAATGGACAAATGAAAATAAATTAACATATATAAAGAACTGTAAAATATAATTATAATACATACCAAAGCAATACAAACGATAAAAAATGTAGAAGAAAGAGCAAAAAATACGATTGCCCAAGGCTTAAATATGGAGAAGAAATTAATAAATTAAAAGAAGCTATTGGATGTCAAAAAAGAAGCTCTCAATATCGAAAAAAAAAACTAATGATATCTTACCGCGTATACACATAAAAAACCTGGAGTAGCATCCCAACAAAAAAACAATAAATGATGACCAGAATAACCTATATCACAGAATAAGGCCGCAAAACTTAAACGAAATGAAACACGATCCGCAAGTTTAGGATAGTATGTTCGTATGAAGCCAAATGTTACGCATGAGGCAACAGAAGAAATGAGAGAAATGGTATTCATAATAATACATAATTGAGTTATAGTTGCGTTGGTAGAAACCATGATATGTTTTTAGGATAATAATTTAGAAGAGGTTCAACCTGATCTAAATAATTTACTGCTAATTTGCTCTGGTTTATATATATGTATACTAGATAGTCTCAGCAATTTTAGGGTTTGTTTTGCTCTGATTCATATTGATAAAATTTTTCAATTTTACTAAAACGCATCTTGGTGTTTTACTGCCTACATTGCATAAAAAACTGGCTAATTAATATATAATGCTTTAAATAAAAATACTTTATACCCCAAAATTCTTCCCTAAACCTTAATTATAACCCTAAATACTAACTTTATTCTGAAAGTTTGTGTAAAAAATTTTTTATATAAATTTTATAAAATTAAATATATATATTTAAAAATATATAATAGGTGCGTTTAAAAATAAATGAATTATTATCAACACAGTAATATTTACATAGCCTTACACTACAACGTTTTTAATAGTGACTATTACTTTTATGGTGAAATGTGTATTTCTCATATTTCCTATTTTAATACGTATTCAAGTAACTAAAATTCAATTGCATACGCGAATAGGACAAAATGATTACTAAGGAATTTTCATAATTAAAAAAAAATAACGTACATCAATAAATAAGTATATTAAAAATCTTATTTATTTTGAATCGGAAATGGGATTATTTAGAAACTCTCATTTCACGAAATTGTTAATCTTTTAATAACGATGACCAATAGGGGGTTTCAAAGTTAAAATCAGAGAATCTCATTTTATTTTTCCGATTTATAATTCAACATAATAAAAATACTATTGAAAAAATCCTATTTATTTTCGAAATGCGTCACTTATTTGTCAACTTTGAAACCCCCTAATGGGTTTTTAAAATTAACAAATAAGTGGCACATTTCGAAAATAAGTAGGATTTTTTCAATATTATTTTTACTATGTTTAATTATAAACCGGAAAAACAAAATAAGATTCTCTAATTTAAATTTGAAACCCTCAATTAGCACAAATTAATCAGAAAACGAAATAAAATTACTACATCCTTATTTGGAATAAATATGTCGTCTATTTCAATCGTATTTCAATCGAATTAGATTTCTGCATTTGAACGCTTTTTATACATTATTTTACATATGCATATACTGTTTAACATGTTGTTTTAATATTTAATCCTACATTAATGATGCGTAATACTGTATCTCTGCGTCTGTGCGCCTCACTTTACTGATAGCTCATTTAGCAGACATCATATAAAGTGATAATTTAGTAGTGTTCTCCGATGAGCTGGCATAAATAGGCTTACTCAATTTTCCCATTGGCTCATTAAGGCTTATTTAGGTTTTATACTATATGATATATAAAAATATACTTATTTGTGTAATTTATATGATATTCTTGAATGTATCATATGTTATACGGCTTATAAATCAAGCAAGTCAATGGGTGTAGGATAAGCCTATTCAAGCTGGCTCATTGGAGGAAACTATAACTTAGCATGTTGTTAGTTGTAGATACATATTTGTTAGTAAATTGTCACTCGAGATAATGTTGGCTAAATAAGTTGTCAGTGAAATGATTACTGGCGAAGAAAGACGACTATTTTGCAGATTGCTTAATGTTATTGTCCGAAGCGTAGCGAGGACTTAAATGTACATGTAAAAGTTAAAGTCTGTTCACCACGTGATTTTATTGTGATTGGCTACTGTAAATCACCGTATACAAGACCCCATGATAGTAGACCCACCACGTAGTATACCCGGATGCGTATCATGAAATCTATATTAATCAAACATGGGGTTTTCAAATATCTGGATTGTCTATTATAAATGCAAAACATGCATACTCTTCAAAGTGTTCCTCTTAGTGACATGAACTCTCGGCTGCACACTAGACCAGGGATCTATTATAGGTTTTAAAATTGGTGTAATGTAAAAGACCCGGGTCTTGTATACAGCGATTTTCGGTATTACATAATAGACCTTTTACATAATTGAAAATGTCCGTCTGTCCGCCATGTGATATTATTATTATTGGCCGATAATTGATTAATATTAATAAATAACAGTAATAAAATGTTGGGCTTCGGATTCACAACAGTTCCTGTTAACTCAGTAAAGTTAAATTAATAAGTGGACGTAACAACGTTTGGGTAGCAAACTTAAAACAAGTCTTGTATGTACACATTAATGAGTAGTATTTTTCTTCAATTACTGCATATAGAACATAAGAATAAATAGGGTGCCATCGGTGAGTAATTGGATTTGTGGATTTGGATAGTACCAAAATCAACACTAGCTCACGAGATATCGAAAATTGATCAAAGTTAAATTTTGTGTAATATTACTAACTTAATTGCATATTGCAGGGATTTAATTTGCTACCTCGTACGTACGTAGTGCAGTACGTTGTAAAGGGCAAGATCAACCATCCGATGGTACAAATTCCTGAATTCCCGGCACAGGCCAAATTAATAAGTATCGGGTAAATATCAGAATACAAAATTTCCAAGATGTACCCGATAGCTTACATATGGGCTTTGTGCAGCAAAAGGGAGTAAATTGGCAAGATTTTAAACTAGTTTTTTTTGCGCAAACCAATTTAAAATAAGATTAGAATCATTTTTCATTTAAAAACCAAAAGCAGTTATATTAATAAAATTTTGTGGTGTAACTCTTTAAAGTTTGTATTTTCTTATGATTTATTATTTATAACAAAAATTGATTTTCTGAAGATCTTCTGTTTTGTTGATTTACCCCTTTTTTGCAGCACAAAGCCCAAAAACCTGTAGTGAAACAGATGTATATTGGAAAAATATCGGGATCAGTAATATATCAGCAAAATATAAGTTTTTCCGATATCTTACTCTAAGCCTAAAAGTAAGATATCGGAAAAACTAATATTCTGCTAATATGTTATTGATGCCTATCCATCCCGATATTTTTCTAACATACATCTGATTTATTAAGCTATCGGGTACATATTGAAAATTTGCATCTGATATTTACTCGATAATTATTAATTCGACCTGTGTGGTATTCGGTGAAATTTTGGTATCTAAAGAATGATGGGTGAGAATAATTAGAATTCCTAGAATTTTGCTATATGTAAATCAAATATATAAAGGAGGGGTCTTCATCCTACAATAAAGATAATTCGAACAAAGTTCAACATTGTAAAGGTGTTTGCTCTATTAATTCTCCTCCCGATAAATGAGCCATTTAATCTCGTGACTAGAATTAGAGTAATCTAGAACTCTATTTGCCTAATAACTCGACCAAGTCTTCCACGGGAGCCCTAATTTCTCCCAAGTTGTGATTGGACGCATGAAATCCCATCTTTAAGTGGATCAACTATATCACGCCACCTTAGCACAGCCAAAATCAAAAAAATCGGGTTTCTTCAATACAGCAATAATATATATATATACTGTATATATATATACTGTATATATATATTTATTTGATTTTATTTATGCACTTCCTGAATTCATTCTGCTAGTACGTGTATTATATTAAGAACTTTGATGTTCTGGTCTGTAAAAATTTCGAAAATTATAATTATAAACATTATAAAGGAAAGAATACGAATAATTTTTTGAATTCAAAACAATAATACTAGAAGCTAAAGATTATGAAGAAAATGAAGAAAACGTCTTTTTTTTGAAAATAACAAGAACATAATTCGAGAGAATAATTTTAAAAAATGATGTTTTCGTTCTATTAAAATTTATAATTTTATTATTGTTATCATTGGAATTTTTTAATTGGTGCTGTCACGGGCAGAATAAATCGTGACCACCTAAAACGTGACCCAAACGACGATCGGGTCCCGGATCGGTGAACGATC